TCTAGGAGATTAAAATGAAGCAACCAATAATTTATTTTATTTTTCTTCATGCTGGTCCTTCTAGTCTAACTGGATTAGGACATCTGCCCGGATAGCAGAAGGTGTGGGTTCGATCCCCACGAAGGTCACTTTTTCTCCGTTCTGTTCCTTTCCTTTCCTTTCCTTTCCTCCGAGCAGGCTAACAGTGGTTTATGAAGCTTTGAATATACATGATGTTCGTGCAAAAAATATGTGTATATATATATTTCACTCATAAAAATAAAATTTACACGCATATCTTGTTTAGATTTCCAAAAAAAAACATTTGTCATGAAAAACACGATTGATAAGTGAACCAATATGTAAGGAAAGAACTATTTTCATGAGATCTGCTTCCTAGAAAATATGAGATGATCAACATGTAAGTCAGATTCCATGAATAGAAAAAGAGCGATTTCATCTTCAATAGTGATATTTGTGAAATTCGCGACAGATTAATATACAATTTGAAAATATAAGAAGTTTAGAGCTTATTGCCATCTCTTTTTAGATAATCATGACGCATAATTCAGCAAGTCAGTTAACATTTGCACAAGATGACTTACTGTCAATCGTAGAACAAGGAAATAAAGAAAATTTTATTATTATATGGCTTAATGAATGTGATAAAAATGAAACAAATAATTTTATGGAAGTATGCTGTGCTTTAAGTGGTATCATTAATCATTTACATCTATTTAATGATGTTGATAATTGTATTGATTATATAACATCACTTCCATCGAATATACACACATTTCTAATTTTATCCTCGCATAAATTCATCATTTCTCTTATTTATCAATTACCTCAAATTAGATGTATTTATATATTTAACATAAATCAAACGAATGATGATATGAGTTATATAGAATATATTAAACATCAGAATATACTGAATGACAAACAATTACTTATCGATAAAATAAATATAGATATTCAACTATATTCAAAGCACCTTTCAACGCCTATGACATTTTTCAAAAATATCGATGAAAATATTGAAGAGAAATCTATTAAAAATCTATCCAAAGAAAGTCAATATTTTATGTATATGCACTTCTTTGTTGAAATATTACTACGTCCTTTAAAATCGAATGAAGCAAAATATGATTTATTATGTGAATGTCGACAGCGTTATAGCGACAATAAAAGTCAACAAAAATTAATTGACGAATTTGAGCAACAATATAATTCCAACGAAGCTATTCGATGGTATACACGAAATTGTTTTTTATATCGTCTATTAAATAAAGCATTAAGATCTCAAGATTTTGATATGATATATAAACTTCGGTATATTATCAATGAATTATATCAACAGTTAAAGTCTTTATATCATGTTCAATTACCTGAATTGAAGAAGATGAGAACTGTTTATCGTGGACAATTAATGCATAAGAATGAATTACGAATTCTAGAACAAACTAAAGGAGGCTTAGTATCAATGAACTCATTTCTATCAACAACATTAGATAAAACTGTGGCATTAGATTTCATTGTTGGTGCAACTGACGGTGAAAACTTGCCTGTTCTATTTGAAATTAATTTGAATAGTACTAATCCTATATCAACCCCATATGCTAATATAGAGAGGTATAGTAATATCCCTGACGAACAAGAAATATTATTTTCAATGGATTGTACGTTTCGCATTGATTCCGTAGAGAAATACACAGAAAATAATCAAATATATTTAGTTAAATTAACTATAACTAATCAATATGAAGAAGAAAATGGATTAAAACAATTAACAGACCACATGAGAAATGAAATTGAAGACAACACAACTGATTTAGCCGCATTAGGATACTTAATGATAAAAATGGGTCACTACGACAAAGCTCAACATTATTATGAATTATGCAGTCAAAAATTGCCTCCAAATCATCCATATCTTGGTTCTTTGTACACAAACGTTTCAATGGCTCATCAAAATCAAGGCAACTATGTTCAAGCAGCGAACTATCTTAGACAAGCGCTCAACATTCAATTAAAATTATTGCCTGAAAATCACCCAGCTCTTGCAAAGACATATATTAATATTGGATCACTTCATTCAAACCAAGGAAACTATACAGAATCATTGAATCATTACATGAAAGCACTCGATATTCAATTCAAATCATTACCTGAAAATCATCCAGACATCGCACAAACATACAACAACATTGGATTAACTCATCAACTACAAGGCAACTTTGTCGATGCATTAAACTACTACGAGGCAGCACTCAAAATTCAGTTACAATCATATCCTGAAAATCATCCAGATATTGCAGCGATTTATACTAACATGGCAGCACTTCACAAGAGGAAAGGTGATTCTGCTGAAGCTTTAAACTGTTATGAGAAAATACTGCAAATTCAATTAAAATCTTTACCTGAAAATCATCCTGACATTGCAGCAACATACAGCAACCTTGGAGAGATTCCTTACAGTCAAGGTAACTATGCAAAAGCATTAATTTATTGTGAGAAGACACTCAATATTCAATTAAAGTCTACATCTAAAAACTACCCAAGCATTGCCGGAACATACAACAACCTTGCAATCGTTCATCAAAGTCAAGGTAACTATGCTAGAGCTTTGCAGTATTGCGAGGAAGCACTCAGTATAAAATTGAAGCATTTGCCTGAGTATCACCCAGATATTGCAAAGTCATACAATTGCATTGGAGATATTCATCAAAGTCAAGGCAACTATTGCACGGCTGCAAACTACTTGCAGAAAGCTCTTAATATTCTATTAAAATCTTTACCAGAAAACCATCCAGATATTGCAGGAATGTACAATAACATTGCATTAGTCTACCAGATTCAAGGCAACAATACTGAAACATTGCATTATTATGAGAAAGCAGTAACTATTGGGTTAAAATCTTTGCCTGAAAATCATTCATATATTGAAAAGATATACAGCAACATGGGATCAGTTCATAAAAATAAAGGTAACCATGTTGAAGCCTTGAATTATTATATGAAAGCACTCGATATTCAATTAAAATCTTTGTCAGTAAATCATCTCAAATGTGCACAAACATACAATAATATTGGATCATTGCATCAAATTCAAGACAATTTTGTTCAAGCATTAGATTTCTATGAAAAAGCACTTAACATTCAGTTAAAATATTTACCAGAAAATCATCAGGCCATCGCAAAGACGTACCACAACATTGCAATAGTTCATCAGAGTCAAGGCAATTATACACAAGCCTCTAATTATTTAGAGAAAATGCTAACCATTAAATTAAAATTGTTGCTTGAAAATCTTCCTGGCATAACAAAAACAGACCACGGTACTAGAGCATTTGACGAAAATCAAGACCAGTACACTGAGGCATTGACTTATTGTGACAAAATACTTCATATTCAATTACACACTTTGCCAGAAAATCATCCTAATCTTGCAAAAACATATAACAATATGGGATTTATTTACAAACGACAAGGCAAATATACTACGGCCATGCATTTTTATTCTAAAACACTTGACATTCAATTGAAATCGTTACCTGAAAATGATCCAGAGATAGTAAAAACATATTGGAATATTGGTAACCTTTACAGTTGCCATGGTAATGAAGCAAAAGCATTGGAAGGGTGGCAGACAGCATTGTCTATTGCATCGAAATGTTTGCCAGCAAATCATCCATGGGTTGTTGGACTATTAAAGAAACTTATGCCAATACAAGAACAAGGAACAAAGAGAACACATCGTGAAGAAAAACAACGAACAAAAAGAAAAAAATTTGATCAAGAAGAAACAACTAACGAAATACCAGAAGAAAGTCCATGCTCTGCAGATTCGGAATGATTCTAAAATATTCTGCTGTTTTGTTTTTAGCATTGTCTTTAATCCGATAGAAACAACAATGAATTTAAGAAGTATGCTTCCAATTGAGTTTCGCTATTCGTTAAAAGAAACAACGCACGCAGTGAACATTTCCTAGTAGAGCAACGAGTTCTGTACCCAAGTACATTATTCGCTATTGATATTGTGAGTGGGTGTTGATTTAGTGATAAATATCGCTTCTACTTTCATAGGAAAAGCAACATACTCAGATGAGGGTGTGGATGTCGGTGTGGATGTGGATGTGTGGGTGGGTGTTAGTGTGAGTGTGAATATGATCTCTTCGCTGTCATCTAACACCCACACTCCTGCTGGTTAAGAAAAAGACTCTCGTCGCTTCGAATTCTGTTATTTTGAAATAGGATTCTTAGCCATTTTGTAGAGAAATGAGTTCGAGAAGGAAAGAACAGTGTTAGTATTTTTACATGAGATTCATAAAACAAAATTGAATCCCCCTTGACAACAATTTTCCAAAGACTTTCTTTAATCTTTTACGTTGTACAGTTTTTGATGCTCCTAATTAATGATGTATTTTGGAGTTATGTTCTTCTATGTTGCTCTGATGAAGAAAAATGAAATTTCCTAAACTATTTTACTCAATATATGACTATCTTCTAACAATGGAGGGTTACCAAGTGTTCAACGCCGATCGGGCTCATAATTTGGCCATAGTTAGAATTCTATGAAAGTAGTAAAAGCTCAAAATAATAAGTGCCCATACCTTGTCCTTCTGGAGTTATGACGATTTTACCGAATTTTTGACCTAGGCAAGCTATTTGAGAAAAAGATGAATGATGGAGTTTTGACCTGAAAATGTGTCCATGAACAGGTACCATCGTCATTAGAATCTCCTGGAAATTTCAGCTGAAACGAATGGTTCCTTCTTGAGATATTGAGGATCCAAGACATGAGATTATATCTCACAGACAAAGGTCAAAGCATAAACTTCCTTTATCATTCAATATCCCGACAAAGAGTCATCTGTTTCAGCTGAAATTTCCAGGAGAATCTAATTGTGATGATACCTATTCATGGACAAAATTCCAGATGAAAACTCCATCATTCATATTTTTCTCAAATAGCTTGCCTATGATCGAAAATTCAGTAAAATCGTCATAACTTCACAAGAGCAAGGCATAGGCACGTATTATATTGAGTTTTTACTACTTTCACGGAATTCTAACTGTGGCCAAATTATGAGCCCGATCGGCGTCGAACAGTTGGCGACCCTCCATTGTCAGATGACTCTTTTCAGTGAGTGTTTTAAATAAAACGTAACCTATTTTATAGAGCGCTGTTTGATCTATCGAATAGAATATGTTCACATCTTGATCACGTGAAGAAATGAAAATGAAATACGATAATAAAAGAAGTCAGACTTCATACTTCATAAAATATTAAAATTGTACTATTGTACGAGAAGAAAATCGCTCAAATTCAAAATAATAAATTAAGAAGCTAAATTTTAACACAACTTCATCGTAATGTAAGAACTATGTCAGAATAAGATCAAAACTTTTATATTAAATATCGTTGGGTAGCAATACCTGTAGAAAGCATTAATTTTCAAAATGGTTGATTAATTTCTGAGAAACGTATATCAGAACTAAAGCCATTTATCTATTAGAAAAAAATTTCTGAAATCAAATTATCAAGACTCTCATATCGTCACAATTAAATACTTGATAAGAGTACTTTAACTATTTAAGTAAGATCTAAACAATACAAACTTCAAGTTCTTTACCAACTTTTTTAAAGTTCATTTTAGAATATTTTGGATTTATTTTTTAATTTTTAATAGAATTCTATG